CACCCCTCATCACATTCCCCCCCCCAAAAAAAAGCCCCAAAAACTCCCAAATCCGCCCAAAATTGCCCAAAATCCCTCACTTTAGTGGATGCTGACGTCATGGCCGCCCTCCCCGGCCCCTCCGGCCGCCGCCGCCGCCGCTCCGGCTCCTCGATGATGGCGGCGGGGGGAGGGGGACGCTCTGCCCCGCGCGTCTCGCTGGTACCGCCCTCACGAAGCCCCGCCCCTTTCCCCTCATTGGCTAACTCCTCTTAAACCCCGCCCACTTCCGCCTCCCGCGGCCGCTCCGCTCCGCCGCCTCGTTGCTCCTCACCCTCCAACCCCGCAAAATTCCCAATTTTTCACCCCAAACCCGCCGTTTTTCACCCCAAAAACCCCTTCCCCCCAAATAAAACCCCTGGCGATCAATACACAACAACTCTCTTTATTACCCAACCCCACCCGCGCTTCTCTGCGGCGCTCCGGGCGGGTGAAAATTGGTCCTCCAAAGACACGGGCGGAACGCGGGGGGCGGTTTTTGGGGTGAAAAACGGGGGGTTTTTTTGGGGTGAAAAAGGGAGGTTTTGGGGTCTCAGCGCACCATGTACTCCTTGCGCTTGTTGAGGCGGGTCTGGCAGAGCGAGAAGCCGCCCAGCAGCGCGTAGAGCCCCGCGGCGATGAAGCAATTGTAGCTGACCTGCTCGTACAGGCGGTAAATGCGCTCCGGGCCGCTGAGGGAGGGAAATTCCCGCGGTTTTTTTGGGGGAAAAAAGAGGAATTTTGGGGTTTTTGGGGTTTTTTGGGGGGGTTCGGGTTTGAGGGTTCGTCCAAAAATTGACAAATTGTCTCCTGAAATCTCTGAATTCCCCCCAAGATTCCGAAATCTTCCTCAAAATTCTTCTCCCAAGCCGCACGAACTCTCCCAAAAACACCAAAATCCTTCCCAAAATTGCCCCAAATTCCCCCCAAATCCCACCAGGACCCCCCAAATCCCCCTCAAACTCCGGGACCCCTCAAAGTCCCCCCAAACCCCCTATTACCCCTTCAGAACCCCCCAAAACCCCTCCGGAACCCCCCAAAGTCCCCCCCGACCCTCAGGGCCCCTCAGGGCCCCTCACCAGCATCACGACGCCCCAGGCGCTGAGGACGAGCCCACAGGCGGCCATTTTGGGCCCGCAGCAGAGCAGCGACACCATGGCGAGCGGGGGGCGGCCTCGGCGAGTCCCTCCCGACGCTTTTTTTGGGGGTTTTTCGGGGTTTTTTTGGGTTTTTTTGGAGATTTCCGCGAGCGGGAAGCGCTCCCCCCCCCGCTTCGCTGCTGCGGGGCCGAGCCGGCGCAGCAGAATGAGGCCACGCCCCTTTTCTGCGCGGCCACGCCCCCTCGCGCGTGGCCACGCCCTTTGCGAGCAAGCCACGCCCCTTCGGGCGGTACCATTGTCACCCGCGGGGGGAGCTGATTGGCGGTTGGGTGTTTTCGGGGGCGTGGCCGCGCTGTTTGGCCACGCCCACCCGCGTCACGCGTGTCCTCGGCGTGTCCTCGGTGTCCCCTGGGTGTCCCCTGCGTGGCCACGCCCTCTGGTGACGTCACGCGGGGGGGATGTCCCCGTGTCCCCCCCCCGGGGGAGAGTCAAATTTCCAAAATTGGGGCTCTGGCCCTTTAAATTCCCCTCCCCCCCCCCACTCGAGGTCACTTTGAGGTGACATTTCACAGCTTGGGGGGGGGTGGGGGGAAGGGGCTAAA